ACGATCTCCATCGAAACCACCGACAGCATACAGCAATCTTGTGGAGGAGGGTGGGAGGAAAAACGCTGCATTAAATTGGAAGCCTTTAAAATTGATGAAATTGATGAAAGTCAGCTTGAATACTGGGTCCGCCGATGGGTGGGTGCAGCATAGTTGCGTGTCAGCAGATGAGAGCAGCGGAACTAGTCAATCAAAAGACGACCTCCCGCATTCACCTTCATACAGAGGCAATAGCGCCCACGGGTTTCACCCGTAAAAAGAGCGCTGTGGTTACTAACCGGGATTCAAAACTAGGTCGATTGGCTTCGAGCTGTTGGGTAGTTCGCTATCCAGGATGGACGAGGGCCATTACTACCTGGACGACAGCGGCTATTTGAGCGCCAGAAAGACATACGCAGGATGCACTTCCGTCACTCTTTCGCTTTGGATTAGGTTGCCTAACTGCCAGTGGCAAGTGAGCCGAGACGACTAAGGACGGAAGAAAGCGGTTCGACTGAAAATGCACTAAACATCTGCATAAGAGTGCTCTTCTGGCGGGCAACTACTTAGATGTTACAAATAGGTGACGCAGGTGTGATCTGAACACTACATAGTCACTAAAAATTGGTTATTCCGACGTGATCTAACACGCAACTTCTGACGTGGCTGACAATCTCTTCACGGAATTCTAATTCGACACCGACACCCTGACGCGAATCGAGATGGATGTTTTCAACAAAACATGTTGCGGTAACTTCACATCCCTCTTGTGTACGAGACATTCCTCCTCCCTTTACCAACAAAACACCGCTCATGATTTCTTAATACACTCAACATGCAATTGTGTATGCATCGATGATCTTTCAAACTCCACTCTACTCCAATTTTGTGTCTGGACGATAGTGAACCTACTTCACTGACGCATTCGTCCGACTCAGCTCTCAATGGGATACCTTGTGTCCGTAATAACCTTTTTTTCCAATGTGCCGACTCACTGGTATGCGTTGTCGAAATCACGCCAGCACATCCTCAGGCTGATGCCACAGCAGCGCCTAAGCACAGGTTGCAAGCAACACACTGGCATCTAGCACTAGCAATTTCTGTCACACAGGGCAAACGTTTTTCAACCTGCGTGTGCACTGGACCATCTCCTTCACTTCATCGTTCGCTCATGTTCGACACATTCACGGCGTC